AATAGATAAAAAAAAATAATTATAGATCACAATTTAAATTGATCTATTAAAATCTATTAAAAATAATCACGATAATATTTCATATTAAATAAATATGATAAAAAAATTCTACATCGATCACAATTATAATTTTTTTTTATCTCAATAGTGTTATTATTTCATTTTAAATCGATAATGTCGCACAATAACATAATCTAATACAAAAATTAATAAAAGCATGGAGGTTAAATTTAATTTTAATATTTTATATTTTAATAATTTTTATATTTTCATTATTATATACTTATTAAGTTATTATTAGATACTTATTATTATTATTCTTTTTTTAAAAATTATATGTTTTATCTAGAAATATTTTTTACTTCGTTTCTGATTTTTAATGAAATATTACTTAATTTATTATATAAAATATCACTTTAAAAACAATAACGATAAATCAAACACGATTATATTTAAAAAAAAGAATAAAATTTTATTATAAGATGATGAATCTATTTTATATATTATCTATGTTAATATCATAAGAAGAACATGGCGTCGATTATTAAAGGTGTGACATTTTTTAATTGATTGTAAATATGTAATGTATATTCCTTGTTATTTTAATTATTGATTATAATTTAATTTGTATATAATGTAATATTTTTAGATACGGGTGAAATTTGGAGCCGATTATTCGATCATCGACCATTCATTCAAGGTGAAATAACATTTTTTCTACGCGAATTTCAGGTAAAGAACTTTTGAGTTCTTGCTATTAAATACCTGCATTAAAAAAAAAAAAAAAAAAATAGTGATTATATAAAAAAATCTACGAACTACTATCTTCATTAGGAGATTAATTGATCATTGTATGAATGTACATTAACAATAGTTCATGTATCATCTTGCATAACCTATAATTCGACAACCAAAAAAAATTTATAGGAAAAAAGAGACGATCGAGAAGTGGAACGACTCTTCAAAATACTTGAATATTCGACAGATTTAAAAGAAAGTCAACTCGATCGAACAGAACAACTTGGGGATTGTCATTTACCTAGCTTAAAAGCAAATGTTGATGTTGCCCTAAGTATGTGTGAAAGAGTTCTTCAAAAAGAACAAGATTTTGATAGTGTATGGATCATTTTCATTTCAAGATTTCGATTAAATCTTTAGAAATATCTCACATTTGTCATTAATTTGGACATCCAATAATTTTTTTAGGATGTAGCATTGCAAGCAAATAGAGAAGCAAGGAAAGTAGAATGGGAAAAATTTGTTAATGATATGAGTGAAAAGTGTGAAAAAGTAAATCAAACTTTTGAAGAGAAAGAAAATGAAATAAAAGAATTTTACATTGATTTAGAAAGAAAATTGCACATCACATCATAAATGTACAATAACTTCATTCTTATATAAACTATAGCAATATAACATATTTTATGCATATATTCTAATAATTTATAACATAAAATAATACCAGGCTTGTATTTAATATATAAATATTTAATGAAAACGTTTTTATTTTATTATTAATATAACATCTATTATATATCTATAAAATACAAAAATGCCAGTTGAATCAATAGAAGATCCTTCTATAAAAATCAAACCAAATAAGAAATTAATAGAATTTATTTGCAAAAATATAAAGAAAACAAATAATATTCCACCTGCTATTATTGCTTTAAAAAAATCAACTAAAGATAAGCAGAAAGATATTTTATTAAAACTGGATGAATTAAAATGGTTAAATAAATATTTAGAAGAATATAGAACCACCAACATGGAAAGTATTTATTTACATGAGCTTTTAGAAGAAGATGATATCAAATTACCAACTCCAAAAATTATACCAAGAAATCCTGAGTTAGAAGCTAGAACACAAAAATTGAAAGCACAACAGGATGCTATCAAATATAAAGCTATGACAAAAAATGTAGATACAGCTACAATGAAATTACCAGAAGACAGTATTTCATATCAAAGTAAGATTTTTATTTTAAAAAATAAATATCCTTTAACATAATTTTCATTTATATTTATTTATATGTATATTTTTTTTTTTTTTTTTCAGTGAAGCAGATAAATAAGCAACTTATAGCTGTTGCACAATTTG